GTGGGGCTGTGTTGGCTGACATGCCTCTGCAAAGTCAAATGGACATCAGGGGCAGTCCCATTGGACTGGTGGACCGGGTTGGTGGTTCACTTATTTAAAAAGGAGGACTGCAGGATGTGTTCCAACTACAGGGGGATCACACTCCTGAGCTTTCCTGGTAAGGTCTATTCAGGGGTTCTGGAGAGGAGGGTCCATCGGATTGTCAAACCTCAGATTCAGGAGGAGCGAAGTGGTTTTCGTTCTGGCGTGGAACACTGGACCAGCTCTATACCCTTAGGGGGATCCTGGAGGGTGCGTGGGAATTTGCCCAACCAGTCTACATGTGTTTTGTGGATTTGGAGAAGGCATTTGACCACGTCTCTCGGGGGGCCCTGTGGGGGACACTCCAGGAGTATGGGGTACCAGGCCCTCTGATATGGGCTGTTAGGTCCCTGTATGACTGGTGTCAGAGCTTGGTCCGCATTGCCGGCAGCAAGTCGGGCTCGTTCCCAGTGAGAGTTGGACTCCTCCAAGGCTGCCCTTTGTCGCCGATTCTGTTCACAACCTTTGTGGACAGGATTTCTTGGCGCAGCCAAGGTGTTGAGGGCATCCGTTTTGGTGGCCTGAGGATCAGGTCTCTGCTTTTTGCAGATGATGTGGTCCTGTTGGCCTCATCAGAACGTGATCTTCAGCTTTCGCTGGAGCGGTTCGCAGCCGAGTGTGAAGCAGCTGGGATGAGAATCTGCTCCTCTAAATCTGAGACCATGGTCTTGATTCGGAAAAGGGTAGAATGCCTTCTCCAGATCAGGGATGAGGTCCTGCCCCATGTGGAGGAGTTTAAGTATCTTGGGGTCTTGTTCATCAGTGAGGGAAAACTGGAGCGTGAGAAAGATAGGCAGATTGGTGCTGCATCTGCAGTGATGCAGGCGTTGTACTGGTCTGTCCTGGTGAAGAGAGAGCTGAGTCAGAAGGCAAAGCTCTCGATTTACCGGTCGATCTACGTTCCTACCCTCAGCTATGGTCATGAGCTTTGGGTAGTGACCGAAAGAACGAGATTGAGGACACAAGAGGCCGAAATGAGTTTTCTCCAGAGTAGCAGGGCTCTCCCTTAGAGATTGGGTGAGAAGCTTGGTTATTCGGGAGGGGCTTGGAGTAGATTCACCGCTCCTCCACATCAATAGGATCCAGTTGAGGTGGCTCAGGCATCTGGTTAGGATGCCTCCTGGACACCTCCCTGGTGAGAATTTCCGGGCACGTCCAACCGGGAGGAGACCTAAAGGTAGACCCAGGATACGTTGGCGAGACTATGTCTCTCACCTGGCCAGGGAACGCCTTGGGAATGCCCCGGAGGAGCTGGCCCAAGTGGCTGGGGAGAGGGTGGCTGCGGATGAAAATGGATGATAATAATAATAATAATAATAATAATAATAATAATAATAATAATAATAATAAAAATAATAAATAATATATATAAATAATAATAATAATAACTACCAGCATCCAAAATGGATGCAGCAATTTTTATGGGAATAGTAATAATTCAGTGTGTTTTTTTATAATGCTGAAAAGGGTCAAGCAAATAAATGGCTAACAATAAAACAGAAACGAGGTCTCCAGAAATACCAATTACCCAAAACAGGGAGACATCCTCCAGTCTTCTAAATTACCAATATACAAATACATTTAAGTCAGTTATGTTTACTATAGGACGCATTATGCTGTGAAAATGCATTTCCCTTTCATTTATCTATTCAATTTTACTAATTTTTTTTATCACTTAAAGGTTTCAGATTAGCAAATAAAACCAAAACCACCAGAGGAAATACAAGATGCCATTTTCAAACGCATTAAGTGAAACGGCTGTCCAACGCATCTAGTCCTCTGTGGACATGTAGATCCCTAAATGTGATAACAGGCTACTGGTGTCAAAAATGCAATCAGTTATTTGTTAAAACTGATAATAGGATTATCACGTCCCTGTGGAGGAAAGTTGTCCCATTCTACTTTACATAATTGGCCAGATTGGAGGGTTTGGAGGGCTTCCAGCATGAAAGGCTTGTTAAAGGCCAAAGGTCAGGGATTCTTCTTCAAGACTTTCTGGTAAAGAACAGAATTCATGGTTCCATCAATTTCAGTGTGTGGTCCAGGTTCTGAAGCAGTCCCAGACCATCACACTACCACTACCATGTTTTATTGCTGGTCTGAGGTTCACTTTTTTATTGTTTGACATGCACAACTACAGTTTTACATCAGAGGAAATGGGTCACCTCTTCCCAAAAAGTTCCGCAAAATATTTTCCCAAAAGTTGTGGTGATCATCAAGATGTTTGTTGGTAAATGTGAGATGAGCCTTGATGTTTTTATTATATATGTTTCTGATCATCAATAATTTTATTCACAGAACACTACCATTTTTGGTCCTGTCTGCTTTTAGAGATCTTGTAGCCTTACATCACAACGTCAGGTTCCACTGAAGTGGATTCTTAACTCTACTGGTCTGGTAGTGATCCGGTTTGTGTAGCTTGTGAATTCAGCATTCCAGATAATGTGCAGCTATCCATGATTCAACAAGAGTGCAGTAAACATTCATATTTGCAGCACTCTAAAGGTTTGTTCGAACTTTTCAAGTTGATGTTGGATGACTCTAAACTTTTTGCTTTTAAATCAAGACAAGATGGAAGTTCTCATCTTTGGACCAGAAATCCAGAAAAGGAAATTGCTTAGTCAATCACCTGACCTGAATGGCATTACATTAATCTCCGAGAACAAAGTAAGGAACCTAGGTGTTATCTTTGACCAGGACATGTCATTCAAATCCCAGGTTAAACAGGTTTGAAGGATTTCCTTTTTCCACTTTTGGAATATTGCTAAGATTAGAAGCATCCTTTCCAGGAGTGATGCTGAAAAACTAGTTCATGCATTTATTACATCAAGACTGGATTACTGTAATTCATTACTCTCAGGAAGTCCACAGAATGTAGTTAAAAGTCTTCAGCTTGTCCAAAATTCTGCAGCTAGAGCTCTGATGAGAATTAAAAAGAGAGATCATATCTCTCCTGTCTTAGCTTCCCTACATTGGCCACCTGTTAAATTCAGAATAGATTTTAAGATCCTTCTCACATATAAAGCTCTTAATAACCAAGGTCCATCATACATCAGTGATCTGATTGTTCCATACGTTCCTAACCGAGCACTTCACTCTCAGACTGCAGGTTTACTGGTGGTTCACAGAATATCTAAAACTAGGATGGGAGGCAGATCTTTTAGTTATCAGGCTCCTCTCCTGTGGAACCAGCTCCCAGCTTTAGTCCGTGAGGCAGACACCTTGTCTACTTTTAAGAATAGGCTTAAAACATTTTTATTTGATAGGGCCTATGGTTAAAATCTGATGTTAGCCTAAATCAGGACAAGTGGGGGAGTAGAGGGAGGTGGAGTGTACAGTCGGTAAAGACGGCTCTCCCTTGGCCTGCCTCCATCATGCCTCCATCTAAATAGGACAGATTATCCAGAGTTATCTCTGTAGTTATGCTGCTATAGGCTTAGACTGCTGGAGGATACACTGACCACTTTTCACACTCTACTGCTTTCTTCTACAATCTGCTCTTTAACTGTATTATTTTCTGCAAATTCAGCTGTTAACTTTATTTTCTCTCTAAGTGTTTTTCTCCCCAGAAGAAGCTACAATGTTCTGCTGAGCTGTGGTGGCCTCATGGAGGGGGCCATCGTCTAGCACAATGCTGCTAACCACTTAAACATTCTCCTTCTCCTGATAATAACTTTTTGCTTTCCTTGACGTTGGATGTGCTACTGCTAGTTTATCCATTTAATTATAGCTCCACTAGGATAAATACAATAAAGTTTATGTCTCACCAAATAGAACATTTACTAAGACATCACAATATAACTATAGACACATTAATTTGTTGTGTGTGTGTGTGTGTGTGTGTGTGTGTGTGTGTGTGTGTGTGTGTGTGTGTGTGTGTGTGTGCGCCTGCTCTGTCTTGTCGATCCCCAGTGAGTCGTGGAGGATGGCTGCTTATACTGTGCCAGGATTCTCTGGAGGTTTCTTCCTGTGTAAAAGGGAGTTTTCCTCTCCACTGTCGCTTTATGCTTGCTTAGTATGAGGATTGCTGTAAAGTCACTGACACTAGTCAGCGACTTGATGCAATTTGCTGGGTTCCTTATATAGGAAACATTATTTCTGATTGGCTTAATGAACTGACCTGGATTGGAATGTTTATTATGTGAAGTGCCCTGAGACGACTCTTGTCGTGATTTGGCGTTATATAAATAAAATTGAATTGAATTGAATGTTTGAATGTTTATGTTTGAGCAGACGTCCAAACCTGCTGCATGCCACTGATTCCAATTAGTGATGTGTCGGTCACTAACCGAACGAACCCGCTCTAAGAGCCGGCTCTTTGAAGCTCCCCCCTCCCCCCTGCTTTGGTGAAAGCTACAGGCGATTGGTCAACATGTGTAACTGTGTGTCCAGACTGTCCACACACAGAGCAGTAGGGGCGGGGAAGAGGGAGGATCAGACTCAGACAGACACACAGCAGAGCACATGCGGGTGGAGGGAGACGAGAGGGAATGAGGAGGAAAAAGGCGAGCGAGAGGGAGGAGAGTGCGACAAAGACGGTGAGAAAATGAGCGCCAGCAGTCGGAAAGTGGAGATTTCTTAGTGTTCGGTTATTAAATCCATAGAAATGATAAACATTTGATATATTGCTTTTTTTTACATTAGTAAATTATTTTACATATGTTTAGCATTATTTTGGTTATAAATGCACTCTACGCAACAGAAAATCTGAGGAGCCACTTGGGAGCCAAAAGAGCCGGCTCTTTTTGGTGAGCTGAGCCAAAGGAACCGGCTCTCTAAAAAGAGCCGGGATTCCCATCACTAATTCCAATGTCTTAAATTTTCAGTGTTTCTTTTCTTTTGTTCAGTTTGTTAGTGGAATAACATTTTTCTTAACAAACAGCAAACATCTGACATAAAAAGGTACTTTTATACTTTGGGTTTCAAAAGCTTAACAAGTCATAACAGAACAAAAGCTCTTTATTTTGTTGGGACTTTGCAGAAAGTGATGTTTTTCCTAAACTAATTTGACTGCGATCCACACGTTAATAATTCATCTTTGTATTTTACTATGTTAACAGATTGGAACACACCTTCAGCTGACATCATCCTCTCAACAATATTAAATGCCAACAGGTCAGATCGGTTTGCTCCACACACTTCAGCAGGTAAGCCTACTGTTGTATTTGCAGAGGTTATTTTGAAAGTTTTGGTGCCATGTTTTTATTTATTGATAAAGCAGTAAAAGGCACCAGATAAAATGGATCTCAGTTTAGTTTTGTTCTATCCTGTTGAGTTTTATAACAACTTATAAAGCTTTCCCCTGAATTGTGTCTCTTTAATTTCTTTGTTATTTTTCAGTATTTTATAGCTTAAAGTTTTCATCATGGCCACGATAAAGCCCATTCTGATGCTTGTGCTGTTTTCAGGTAAACAGCAATTTAATGTTAAGAATTTTAGATTGGAAATTTTGTAGAGGAATAAAACATGGTTTTGTTATTTTTTTACAGGACTTATGCAGTCAGTGTTTGCGGCAAATCGTTTACGGTATTTCAGTAATGTGACAGAGATATTAAATTTCACAGCGGCCCAAAACAAATGTGATGAGAATGGAGGATCTCTGGTCACTCTATATGATCAGGAAGATGCCGACTTTGTTCTGAATCTAACCAAATCTATAGGTGATGATAATCATTCAAGCTACTGGCTTGGTCTGTATAAGAATTTAAGTGCAAACGCCACTTGGTCAAATGGTGACCCATTCAATGGCCCAGGTGTTCACTTAGAAGGTGGAAAACAAATATGTATGGCTATTGGAAATGGAACATGGATGAATTTCAGCTGTTCAGACCGAAAACCTTTCATGTGCCAAAAAGGTGAGAAGTAACAAGCAATTCTTCCTCATAATCTACATGGAATATTTTATGCTGCGTTAATATAACATGTAACACTTTGATTTTTATAAGTAAAAAACAGGTGAAACAGTTTAACTGGTTAATGACATTTTAAAAATTTATGGCAGGTAAAAATTACTCCCTGATTGAAGAGGAAAAAAACTGGTGCCAGGCGCTGCAGTACTGCAGAACACATTATACTGATTTAGCCAGCGTCAACACAACACGGCACGACGAAGAGCTGAAACAAGAAAATACGAATAAGACCTACTGGATTGGGCTCATGCATGATGAATGGAAATGGGATGACAACAGCTGTTCAACATATAGAAACGAGGCAAATATTGCCTTGGAGCCTAATTCAAGTTATTCCATTCTCTCCTGGACAACTGGTTTCCTATGGAAGTCAGGTGAACGGGCATCGTTACTTTGCACCAAAGGTAAGACATGTACAAGTCATTAGGAAATAAATCCTCCACATTTAAGTGAAGCCTCTCTTCCTGTTGCTGTGGCAGATAGGAGATCATTTACAATAAAACAAAATGAAACATTGATCTGATGAAATTCTAACAATAAAACGAATCACCCAAACCCTGTCAAGCACTACTTTATAAAACGTCAACCCCTCCAAGAAAACTCCAAAGGAAATTTCACAACACACTATGTTCTAAATATTAGTTCAGATTAGATGTTTTTACAACTCTGGCTTTTAACTTGCATTTCAGGTCATGTGAGAATCAAAGTGATTAATGAACCTAAAACTTGGGAGGCAGCCATTGAGTACTGTAAGGCTCACCACACACGCTTGCTGTGGATTGAAGACCAGGAGGATCAGAAGGCTGTTGAGCAGTGGTTACGACACACACCTGTTTCTGGCTACACTAAGTCATTTTGGATCGCTCTGAAACAGAGTTCTGTGTTTGGATTCTGGATCTGGAGCGACAGAATAGTGAACTGGAACAACTGGAAAGACGGAACAATGCCAGAGGCCCCGTTGTCTGAACAGTGTGGTGTGATGGATGCCGGGAGCTTCAAATGGAGAGATGAGAACTGTTGGCACAGGTTGTCTTTTCTTTGTGAAGAGGAGATCTTCTACATGGATAAGTAGTAGTTAATAGTTATTTCTACTAACGGGATTGGCATACTTGTTCAATTAACTTCCTGCATGAAAAAGTACTCGTCTTTAAATGTTTAAGTGGACATATTTTGACTTTAAACCTGCAACATGTGGACATGTCCACATTGTGCAGATATTTTATTGGTCCACACAATGCAAAGCACATTAACACTTGGTTTTGGAGGTATGGTGAGAATTAGCTTTGAGTTTAGATTAGTTTAATGTTAGGATTAGAACCCCATTGGTTATGGTTAGTATTCGGGTATGGTTTAGGCATAGTGGAGTCACTAAAATGAATGGAAGTCAATGGAGGACCACACATATACAGTAAATGCAAGTGTGTGTGTGTGTGTGTGTGTGTGTGTGTGTGTGTGTACTTGTTTAACTGTCCTACTTAAGGCCAAAACTGGCATATTCACCAATCTTGTGAAGACCGATGGGCCTCATTAGGACTTCAGGTCGTTGGGGAGTGAGTGAGTGAGTGAGTGTGTGTGTGTGTGTGTGTGTGTGTGTGTGTGTGTGTGTGTGTGTGTGTGTGTACTTTAACCCTCTAATTTTCTTACACTATTTTAGAAAATTGTTTAGTTTCACTACCAAATAAACTGAATCAGGTCAACACTTGTCAAACTGAAGTTGTAGCTATTCATTTGCTTGCTTGCTTGTTTGTTTATTTGATTTTATAATATTTTTTAATATAATACAGTTATTGAAAGCTGAATGCCATTTTATCAGTCTAGACATAGTATATAATTCATGCTCTAACAAGTGTTTAACTATTAAATTGGGTCACTTGTGCAGACTTTAACTCTTTATGTGTTGCCTAAAAATAGAATATAGTTTAAAATCTGAAAAAAAAAACGTAAAGAACAAACTAATAAAAAATTTACAAAAATAATTTGAAAGTGACATGGTCAAAAATGGTTTAAATTTAAATAATCATTAAGGCATTTCAGTGAGCTCTCCTTAAAACTTTTAAAGTTAAACTTTTCTTAATTTAACCTGAACAACATTGAGAAGCTGTCCAGTTGAAGGTCTTGGCTGGGCTCTTCCTGTGTGAAGGTTGCACTTTTTCCCCATTCACACATGGATTAACATGAAGGTTTGGTTCATTGAGAACTTTCCTTCAGGTGAGTGTCTGAGTGTGTGCTTTGTCTTTGTGAGGTTTGGTGAACAGCAGTTGACCTTTTTATCTCTACCCTGCATTCATGTGTGTGACTGATGTCGAACAGATTTCTTCCCAAATGTTAGAAATTAACAATCAACAATAAAAGACAACAGAAACGTTAAAGGCTTAGTGTGCAAACGTGTTTGTGTTTTCATACACATACATATTTAAGAGGATAATAGATCTTTATTTGTCTTTCTCATCTCTTTAGAACTAAATATTAATTAAATCCATGAGTTTCTAAAACTTTTCCCCCTCTCAGTTGTGATTCTTAGCGTGACCTGGGTTTGGACAAATGCACCAGTGAAAACAAGACTAAACAACGAAGGGATAGGTCTCTCCCCCATTCTCCCTTCATTGGAAGGGAGGGAGAGAGCAGCAGACAGAGGGAGGGAGAGACAGTGAGACAATCTGTATGGCTCTTCAAACTATTAATGTCATGGTGTGAGCCCGAGGCTCCTGGTGACACCGGAGATAAGTGAACGTATTTAGTGCAGCACGTCGCACGCACACACATAAGCACACGCTAAACAGCTCTGCAGCTCATGGCCTTCCCGTGACACGGTCTAATCACTGGTCTCAATGTTCCCCATTAAACGGGCACAGACTCAGTGACGGCTATATTATCTGCAGAGGCTGGCAGAGAGATTGTTCTAGGGAGAGGAGGGTGTCGATCTGTGAAGTTTTGGACTTGTTGCCTGTGTGTGATCATGTAACCTTCATGGTAATGTTCTGAGGACAGAAGCTAAATTTAAATCAGCAGCAAAAGCAGTAAAACTAGGATTTTTATAGTCAGGTTGTGGTCAGATTTCAGGGCAGCAAAGATTTTTAATTTTATTCATTTTCATTTCCTCACTCCTAAAGTGCCTCGTGATTTTTATCTTGAGAGGTGCTATATAAAAGATCATTTTCTGTCTGTCAAACATCGCCTCATCTTGGATGAACAGTACACACTGCTCGGGCCAAGAAACAAGGAGCAGAAAGCGACGACGTTATCAAGTCCCCTCAGGTCAACTTGCTGGAACAAGGTGTGAAAGAATGAACTCAGAATAATAAAAGGGGAAATGAGTCATGAACGGCTGCAGAGTAAAAGTGGAACTTATACCTGAAATGGAGGTGGTGATAATGAAATGTGTGTGTTTAAAATAATTCCATTCAAGTTTATTTATGTGGCGCCAAATCACGACAAGAGTCATCTCAAGGTACTTCACACAGTAAACACTCCAGTACAGGTCAGTTCATTAACCAATCAGTAAAAAGTTTACTATATAAGGAAACCTGAAAATTGCACTGACTGGTGTCAGTGACTTTACAGCAATCCTCATACTAAGCAAGCATGCAGCGACAGTGGAGAGGAAAACTCCCTTTTAACAGGAAGAAACCTCCAGAGGATCCTGGCTCAGTATAAGCAGCCATCCACCACGACTCACTGGGGATCGAGAAGGCAGAGCAGTCACATGCATACACCAACCCACCCACCCACCCACCCACCCACACACACACACACACATCCACCCACAACATACATATATCAAGTAATGTTTCTATGGTTACAATGTGATTTCTTAGTAAATATTCTATTTGGTGAGAGATAAACTTCATTGTATTTATCCTAGTGAATCTACAATTAAACGGGTAAACTAGTAGTAGCACACTCAATGTCAAAGAAAGTAAAATGTTATTATCAGGAGAGGGAGAGTGATTAAGTGGTTAGCAGCAGTGTTCAAGCTGATGGCCCCCTCCATGAGGCCACCACAGCTCAGCAGAACATCATTGTAGCTTCTTCTGAGGAGAAAAACACTTGGAGAAAAAAATAAAGTTAACAGCTGAAATAGCAGAAAATAATGCACTTAAAGAGCAAATTGTAGAATAAAGTAGTTGAGTGTGGAAAGTGGTCCTCCAGCAGTTTAAGTCTATATTAGCATAACTACAGAGATAACTCTGGATAACCTAGCCTTTTAGATGGAGGCATGATGGAGGCAGGGCAAGGGAGTCGTCTTTACCGGCTGTACACTCCACCTCCCTCTACTCCCCCACTTGTCCAGATCTAGGCTAACATCAGATTTTAACCATAGGCCCTATCAAATAAAAATGTTTTAAGCCCACTCTTAAAAGTAGACATGGTGTCTGCCTCACGGACTAAAGCTGGGAGTTGGTTCCACAAGAGAGGAGCCTGATAGCTAAAAGATCTGTCTCCCACCCTATTTTTAGATATTCTGGGAACCACCAGTAAAGTAAGGTACCGCGACTCAGGTTGCGAATGACCACAGTCACCAATTCTTGTCATGTGTCTATGTCGATGTATGTATGTCTGATCTCAGAATTGTGTGTACTGAAACTCTAATTTCCCTCTGGGATTAATAAAGTATCTTTGAATTGAATTAAACCTGCAGTCTGAGTGCAAAGTGCTTGGTAAGGAACGTACTGAACAATAAAGTCACTGATGTATGATGGAGCTTGTTTATTGTCAGGGACTTGCATAAACCAGCCAGCAGAGCACGGATGATTTTCTTGACATGTTAATTTATTACTATTTTTTCTTTTCTCCAAAGAGGGTTCCAGCCAGCAATTAACATTACATGACAATGGATGTAGAAACAAAGTAACCCAAACTCAGGATCTGACTACAGACATGTACAAAAAATAACCTCCTACAGACACAACAGGATCAACTTAAATAGTGGCTGATCAGACCACTGCCAACACAATAGGGTGGGGAGACATCAGTAAACAAAGAACATAAATAAACTAACCCTAACAAATTCATACTAATCAGTCCATTCTGTTTGAGTTACTTCAAATGAAAACATTACTATCAAAACTCAACTACAATTTACAAAAGAGAATAACTAAATACATAAACACAGGAATCTTCTCCCTTGAGAGTTGGTATGACCCAATGATGCTGATTAGGCCAAGTGATCTGCTACAGCTGTTCCAACTCCAAGGCCACTGGCAACTCAAAGAAAACATATCATACAAACCCCTGCAGACTAAAACTGATGAGTAACTGAATGTGTGCACTGCATACAGTCACGCAAACAGTCAATCCATGGAAACAAACACCTTTGTTCAAAATAAGAAACATTAACAGTTATTTAATTTATTTACTTGAAGTGTGACAGCAAGGCAGCTGTCACATTTATTAAGAGCTTTATCTGTGAGAAGGATGATCTTAAAATCTATTCTGATTTCAACAGGAAACCAATGTGGGGAAGCTAAGACAGGAGAAATATGCTCTCTCTTTTTAATTCTCATCAGAACTCTAGCGGCAGCAATTTGGACAAGCTGAAGACTTTTAGCTACATTCTGTGGACTTCCTGAGAGCAATGAATTACAGTAATCCAGTCTTGATGTAATAAATGCATAAACTAGTTTTTCAGCATCACTCCAGGAAAGGATGATTCTTAGCAATATTTCGAAGGTGGAAAAAGGAAATCCTACAACTTGTTTAACGTGAGATTTGAATGACATGTCTTGGTCGAAGATAACACCAAGGTTCCTTACTTTGTTATCAGAGACTAATTTAATGCCATTCAGGTCAGGTGATTGACTAAGCAATTTCCTTTTCTGAATTGCAGGTCCAAAGATGAGAACTTCAGTCTTGTCTTGATTTAAAAGCAGAAAGTTTTGAGTCATCCATTTTTTTATGTTTTCAAGACAAGCCTGTAATCTACCTAACCAATTAGGTTAATCGGGGTTAATGGATAGATATAACTGAGTATTTTTAGCATAACAGTGGAAGTTTATTCCATGCTATCTATTTATTTTACCAATTGGAAGCATACATATAGTAAAAAGAATTGGTCCAAGCACTGAACCCTGTGGTACTCCACAAGTAACTCTGGAGTATGAAGATTTGTCATGTACATTTACAAAATGAAATCTATCAGATAGGTAGGATTTAAAACAGCCTTGCACTGTTCCTTTGATCCCTACAACATGATCAAGCCTTTCTAAAAGAACATTGTGATCAACTGTATCAAAGGCAGCACTGAGATCTAATACGACTAGAACAGACACAAGATTCTTATCTGAGGCCATGAGAATATCATGTGAAACTTTCACTAATGCAGTTTCAGTGATGTGGTACTCTCTAAAACCAGACTGAAATGCAAAATTTCACACACACGTTCTTCGCGTTTCGCTTGGTAGGAGGGAGACCCGTGATTATCGCTTTGTCGCGCATGTCTCATTGAAAATGAATGGAGGAGAGGCGATGTCGCCTCCCGTGTGTCGAGCCCATAATGCACTAACACGAGTCCAAGACGGAGGGTCCTATACCCAACACAGTAGAGGGATCTAGGTCCACATTTTTCCACGACTGTGGTTACTGACCTACTAACTCAGGTTCTCCTGTAATAGGAGATCTCATCGATCTCAAAGCAATAAAACTCACAGGAGTTCTAGATACGAAAGGGAAAGAAGGGATTTTTAAAACTAACCAAATTTCTCTTGCAGCTTTCCAGGTGTTCCTCAAAAGACTTCAATCTTCCAGGATTTGGTATTTGCATTTTACTTTCAATCATTTACTATTTTACATTTTTAATATATATAAAGTTTCTGGTTTATATTTTTGCTTTGCATATCACATATACTAAAGGTTTTAATTTTAATTTTAATCAAACGCTTTTACATTTTAAATTATTATCAACCAAAAAAAATCTTAAAACAACAAAATCAAACAAAAAAAAACATGTGGATATTATATTCTTTTTGATCATTTCCTTTTTATAATCCACAGCTTGATTATCCTAAACAGGGATACAGTGGCAGATAAGTAAGGGAGATAAATAAACTTGCTCCATCAGCCTTATCAAACCTTTACTCATCTCTTTTCTGCTTGGAGTGAATTTACTATATTTTGAAGTTTTCATTCATTAAAAGGGTTCTCTGATTCTTTACTTTTAACCTGGATAAGTCACTAGATCTACACATAAATTAAGACTCCTTTCTCATAAGGGGAGTCTTAATCTAGGATAACAAAACTTTCACCCTTTTACAGACCCCAACCCCGGACGAGTTACGAGTGAAAGCAGCATCGCCTGGAGCTGGTGTGACCCCTGTCTACAGGGCATTGCATCCGTATCCCAGGTTACCCTCGGGCCACAGGTGAGTGGAGTCCAGGACCCAGGAGAGAGTGGAGAAGACTTCTCCTTGGCCAACACTTTTCCCTGGACTCAGTTCCGTGAGGTAAGTCAAAGGGGCAGTGCCCACTGTCAGCTATAAAGTCTGGCATTGTTACTCGCGCAGCTGCAAAAGACTTGAGAGCTGAAGCTTTGCTTGATTAAATTTATTTAGTCAAGGGGTTGCCACCTGTTGGATCACAAATAAATGCATTAAATGCGATGCACCGATCATTGCTCTGACTTTCGAGTTAAAATTTAAAAGAGTATCTGACGGAAATGGAACAAGTAATCAAAATAGAAACGCAGAGGTGAAGCTTTTGAAGAGAAATCTTTAATCCTAGCGTGAGAGTTTTAACCTCTCTAAAAGTTAACCCATTTCTTTCTTTCTTTCTTTCTTTCTTTCTTTCTAAAAGTAAAGAACAGGAAGCTGAACTGTAATGTTCAATCTGCAAGAGTAAATCCATTTTAATTTTCTATTAGATCTTGATCACTTGAGTAACACTTGGAGATGTTTAAAGTGATTGGCATTATTTTGTATTTTCTTACTATTAAACAGAAAAACGTGTAATACAACCAGCTGAGTGTAAATGTTAAGGTGCTGTGAGAAGTCAGAGGAGAGTCACATTCATTGGAATTCACAGAGTTTATTATTATTAATTAGATTTGCTATTTGGCCTCTGGTGACAAACATGTCTCTGCCCCTTGCTTGGCCAGTGAATCTCTTCTGTGATTAGTATTCTAGCCCATACCCAACAACCTTTCATGAGCTTCCTCTTGCTAATGGCTGAACTGAAAATACCTGCATGAGTAATGGTGTTTTAGACATGTACAGCAAAGAGATTGCTAATTTAGCCTGGGAATTGCCCATCAGAGCTACTTAAAGGCCACAGTTGTAGAGCTGATGGGGGTTAGTGATCAGGTCTGTGTTTATTTTTTAAGCTACTTCTCACTAAACTTAATATTGGTTTATTCAATAAGACTGCTGAGCTGGAGGAGTGCAAGGAAGAGCCATGCTTACCTCCCCTTTAGACCAACAGGCGAAAGACAATCAGGTCACTGGAGGATTCACAGGAATCCACCTGGTGTTGGTCCTTGGAAAAAAAATTCTAAATAATTAACATCTTCGGTGTGTTCTTACTGTGTCTAGTTTCTAATTCCATTTTTGGTTCTTTTTAAAACACAGGAAAGGTTTCTCTTTACCTTGCTAACGTTTCGTTTGCCGACTGCAAAACATCCTCAGAGCTGACGCTGACGGTGGTGAAGTGAATGTTTTAAAACAAGCCAAAAATGGAATTCGAAACTAGACACAGTAAGAACATACCAAAGATGTTCAAAGAAAAATACGGACAACAAGGAACAAAGGACTTCC